ATGGTATAAAGAAATGTATGTTACTCATTACACGGAAAGTATATAACCTATGGGCTCCAAACCGTAAATGCAAATGCAAAGGTGGAGTGGGCTCAAATGTGTTCGGGAATTGGGAACCTTTTATGGAACCTAACTTCCATCGAGTACACATTTGAAGAGGACGTGATTCGCTACCAAAGACGTATGTGAAAGAAAAGTATTATTTGTGTCTTCTATGAAATGCATTTGAATTTAAAAAAATATTGAAAATCAAAGGAAAAGTCAGCAAAGTTTCCTTTGCTGATTCTGGTCGTATAGTTAGGTCAGAAACGTCTTCTTTAGCTACTGAAGTTTACTCAGCAGCTTTCGCCTTGAGAATGGTCACAGTTTATCATGATATCGGTGATGTGTAGGTAGGCCAATATGGACTCAAATAAGAATGATTTTTGCTGGTGAGTGGAAACGTTCTACCGAGAGACGTTGAAGGTTATGAAAAAGTTATAGTGCATGCAACTATTATATTTTCCTAACTTTAATTACCGCTCTTTCTCCGAAATATGTGGGCATGAGGAAAAACGGGCAAAATCGTCGTCAAAACACTTATAATTCTGTAACTGTGCCGACTGCCGCCCATTTCACATTTTTCTGCCAAAAATGATTTCAGTTTTTAAGATTTTGATATTCTAATTTCCCTAGAACTCATCCTAGAGGGAAACAGTTGCTGTAAGGGGGTTCTCACTTTTGTCCTACTTATGTCTGACTTCAATCGTAGTGAGGGGTTATTGCTACTTACTTTGTTACCTGGGTTTATAAGCAGAACCAACAGATGAAGAAATACCGGAAGAGAACGCAGACGGCGACAGTGCAGCAAGAGAAACCTACCTCCGAGAGCAACGGGAAAAACTTTCTGCCGAAAAGGAACGAATATTAAGCAACACAACCATGGTTGCAGAAGAGAAAACCCGACTGCTGGAAGATTTAAAGGTGCGTAGTGTTTTATTGCAATAAACGTCTTTAAAGTGGTTCACACTTCAGAGGACGATTTCATTTTAAGGGGTAATATTCTTGGTTTTTCAGCTAAAGGTTCCAGACCAGTGTCATTTCTGTGTACTCTTAAGTAGAAATGGCATTTATGAACAACCGCACCATTTTAGGAAATTTTTTTCTATCGTAT